AGAGAGTGAGTGTAACAGAGACAGATGGTGGAAGGTGGCATGAATGAATATGAATTAACTATGGGAGGCTGGGCTGTGAGGTTCAGGAACCAGGCTTGGTACCCAAAGACAGGGACCATGGCTACCACCAATCCAAGGCTGTAGGTTCCCCTTGAGGACATGTCTAAAAGCTTTGAACCATGCCTGGCAGATCATGGAATCACTGGGAGATGGGAAACACCTGTAAGTGGGGTGAAGACACCAGGCAACAGGTGTGTGTGTGTCCCTGCTTTAGAGATGGGGACAATTTCCTGCCTGAGGTTTCACAGCATCTAGAGAGAAGAACTAGAACCCCAGAGTCCTACCACTCACAACTCAATTATGTTTGTAGAGTGACTTATGGGTGGGGGAAGCTCTCCCAAGGCAACACAAATTAGTGCCTTCATGTACAGCACTCTCCTTGAAATGAGTGAATGGAGGCTGGAGTAACATCACATTATCTAGAGGATGAAGTCTAACTCTGTGTGGTGGTTTGAATAAGAATGGTACCCAGAGGCTTATGTATTGAATGCTTAGTCATCAGGGAGTGGCACTACCTGAGAAGGATTATGAGGTGTGGCCTTGTCAGGGTAGCTGTGGCCCTGTGGGAGAAAGTGAGTCACTGGGGGTGGGCTCTCAGGTTTCAAAAGCCAAAGTCAGGCCCAATGACTCTCTCCTCCTGCTACCTGTGGATCTGGATGTGGAACTCTCAGCTAACTCACCAGCACCATGTCTGCCTGTAGAGTGCCACGCCCATTCTCCACCTTGATGATAATGAACCAAATCTCTGAAACTCTAAGCAAGGTCTCAATCAAATGTTTTCTTTTGGAAGAGTTGCTATGGTCATGGTGACTCTTCATACCAATAGAAACTAAGACAGAAGTTGGTACCAGGGACTGGGGTATGACTGTGACAGGCCTGACTGTATTGCTTGTGGGTGGAATGTAGACTTTGGATTAGGAAATCAGTTGAATGCTTTAAGTGGGGTTTAATGGGCCATATTAGTAGGAGCATGGAAGACAGTGTTGAAGCTGATTTGAACTGTAGAGCCCAGCTCAAGAAGTTTAACAGGGGAAGAATATTAGTAAATGGCCTAGAGAGAATTTTTGTGATATTTTGGGCAAAGAATGTGGCTGATATTTGTCCTTGACTGAAAAAAATCTACTTGAGTCTAATTTAAAGAGTTTTGGATTGATGGCACTGGCAAAAGAGATTTTCAATAACGGTGTCACATGGTCATTAGTGGCCGGTCTTATGCAGATCAAGTTGTTGAGCAAGGAAAAAATACAAATTGTACAGTTTGAGGAGAAAAGGAGCACCAGGAAATGTAAGAGAGCTAAGTCTAGGGCTCAAGGACACAAAAAATTTAAAGAAAAGCTTGAAGCTAAATGGGATAAAAGGAGTGGTGACCTCAGGGCACGACCCCAACTAGCTAAGCTTCCAAGTTGTGAAAAGGAATTAAAGAGTAAGCAGTGAAGGAAACCGTCAGCAACAGAAAGCTGATGCAGATGTAACTGAACAAGGGGCCCTACTCCAGCCCCAGCAAGCAGCAGAATTTGGCAGTTTTGGTCACATGGTTCTGGTTTTAGAGTCATGGATAGAAGAAAGGGATTGTGGTATTTCCCTAAAAAACTTTCCTCATGGCTAAGGAGAGCTGCTGAGGCCAGGCATGTGCCAGGGGTGTCCCTGAATGGAAGCCCAGAGAGGCCATTGTGTGAAGCTGTGAAGGTGAAGCCTGGATTGTGTTGGAGACCCCAAAATGTTGAAGATGCCGGAGCCATGAGATTCCTGCCAAAGAGAGCTGCAGACTGGGTGTGGAACCAGCCCAAGAAAGAGAAATGTGTTACTATCAACAAAGCTGGAAAGAGTTGGAGATCTGAAAAGCACCTTGACCTCAGACATGAAGATGAGGAATGTGGAGTTTGCCCAGCTGATTTTTAGTCTTGTTTTGGTCCAGTATTTCCTCACCATGCTTCCCTTCCCCGTTTTGGAATGGTAATGCATATTCTGTGCCATTGTATATTGGAAGCATAGGATCTGCTTTTTGACTTTGGTTTTAAAGGTTATTACAGTTAAGAGAATGTCATGAGTCTTTATAAGAGACTTTGAACTTCGGACTTTCAAACAGTGTTGAGACTGTGATAGGCTATGTAGACTTTTGAAGTTGGACTATGTGCATTTCTGGATTAGGATGTGGCTACAAGTCTATGGGGGCCAAGGAGTGGAAATGTAGTGGTTTGAATAAGAACGGTCCCATAGTTTTATATGTTTTGAATGCCTGGTCATCAGGGAGTGGCACTACTTGAGAAGGATTAGGAGGTGTGGCCTTATGGGAGGAAGTGTGTCACTGGGAGTGGGTTTGGGGGTTTCAAAAGCCAAAGTCAGGCCCAGTATGTCTCTCTTTCTTCTACCTACGGATCCGGATGTAGAACTCTCAGCTACTTCTCTGGCACCACATTTGCCTGAGTGCCGCCATGCTCCCACTATGTTAACGGACTAACCCCCTGAACTGTAAGCCAGCCCCAATTAAATGCTTTATTTTATAAGAGTTGCCATGGTCATGGTGTCTCTTCACAGCAATAGAACAACCTGTAAAGCTGAGTGCTAGGCAGGCCCAATCTGGAGGCTCTGCAAACCTCAGGGGACACAATAACAACAACTGGTGATATCAACAGTGCCAACTACTCAGCCCCCATCATGTCCCACATACATTTTATATAATATTTCTTTCTTTTTTTGGAAACAAGGTCTTACGGTGTTACTCAGAATAGCCTTGGATCTGTGATCCTCCTGTCTCAGGTTCCCAGAGGCTGAGATTGTAGGTGTGTACCACCACTCCACATGCTATTTCTAATGCCTCTAGAAGAACTATGTGGAGGGACAGGTGCCAGCTGCCCCTTTGCCCAGATGCATGATGGTTCCTTTTGCAAGTAAGTGTTGGTTGAGCAGAGGTTCTGGGCACCATTCTGCCACCGATTCAGGATGGTCATGCGCCTAAATGCCCACTGGTAGAAACTGAGCACGTAGGATTTGGGTCACTTGCATATTCCCTTGCCTCTCCCCACACCCACCAAGCCAGAGAGAAGAAAGCCCCTGAGTACCCAGCCATAGGAGGGAGGGGACCTGGATCCCTGAGTACCCACATGGGGGGGTCCCCAGCCAGACTTCTTGTGCCATGGCTATGTGGTACATTGTAACCTGTTTGTGGAGATGCTGGAACTGGGACTCTCACTATTGACACACAGTATTTCCCTGAATTAGACCAGAAGCCGGAGGCACTGTAATTCATGTCTGGAGGTCCAGGCTGGGAAGCTGGACACCGGTGCTGTGCAGTGCAAGTGTGAGGACAGGTGGAGTCGTGCAGTGTGTCTTACACTAGCAGCCTGTGAACAGCCTCCACATCCTTCCAGCTAATTCCTTCGGGAGCTCCAGGGCTTTGGAGAGAGAGAACGGTCAGTGCACGGGACTGCCTGGGGAAGGTCTGAGCCCAATCTACCCAACTGCCGGTCTCTCTACCACCATCCTCTGCTCATGTTGACCTTGAACCATACTCAATGCCCATTTCCAGGCCTTTTCCTGGCCTGCCACCTCTGGGAAGCCCGTCTTCCACCCCCAGCCCCGTCTCATCCTGAGCCTGAGCTGAGCTCCCAGGGCTGAGACTAGCCAGTGATGAAGGACTTCACTGGCCGGGGCTCACAGGGTAGATGCCCAGGACTGACAGCATTGTGTGTGTGTGTCGGGTTCGGGGTGAGATGGGGAAGGGGTGTGTGCTCTGGGCAGGCTCTGATGGCCGCTCCCATTTGTGTGTCTGGGGTCCCTCTTGGTCTTACCTGCATGGGACTGCATGTGCTCCAGCAGGTTGCTGTAGAACTGAAACTGAATCCCACAGGCGCCGCACGTGTAGGGTTCTGGGGAAGACAGGTGACATGTGACAGGTGGCTCACCCTCAGGTAACCCAACACTGGGCTGCAAGCAGTTTTGAAGGTGGGGACCCAGATGCATTCTTGGGGCCCAGGGCCCAACCTGTCCACTGGCCTGTCACTAGCCTAGAGAGGGAAACGCTGAGGAGAGGCAGAGGCACAGAGAAAGGAAGACGCGCAGATGCGGGCTGCTCCACCATTGGGCCCCCTTATCGAGTGCTTACTTCATGCCGGGCACTGTTCTGAGTGCATGGGAAGGACAACGTCCAGGCACCAAGCGAGTGAGGGAGCGAGCGAGCGAGCGCTCTCAGGAGACACACTGTGTCCCTTGGGGTCCTCAGCTCAGCCCCTCTGCCCGTGGGGCCACACGGGGGGGGGGGGTCACTGCTCACGGAGGGAACAAATGAGGAGATGCACAAACGAACAAAGGAGGAAATTCACAACGGGGAGGGGATGAAAGCAAGGAGGAAAAGAGGAGATGGAGGAAAGCGCAACGTCAGGGTACACTGGAGAGGAACAGGAGGGGGAGCTGAGGGGAACAGGCTGCACCATCAGCTCTGTGAGTCCAGTACCTGGCAAAGAGGGGGAAGAAGGAAGCAAATCGCTATTAGGTAGAAGGGAGGGAAAGAGGGAGGCTGGGAAGAGAAGTCCTGGGGCTGTCTGGATAGCCAGGAGTGGGTAAAGCTGTCCCTCCTGTGTACGGAGGGCTCTGTCTACCTGCCCATGCTTCTCCATCTCCTGGGCCCTCTGCAGCCTCCCCAGGCTGGGTGTTCCCTGGAGGGTGGCCCAAGGCCTGTCTACATCTCAGTGAGGCCAGCAGTGTTCACTCCCTGACCTGCCTTGCCCTCTTCAGCCCCCCGAGCAGGACCATCCATCACTTACTCTGTAGGAGAGGGAAAGGATTGGAAATCAGGGGACTTGCAGTTTCTGCAAAAGAGAAACAGTTTAGCTAAGACTTTTTTTTTTCCAGGCCTGGGGCTGGGAGGTCATTACACATGCTGAGCCAGGGGGCGCTCGCAGTAGCACCCAGGTCTGTGTAGGAAGGTGGATGAGAGGGTACTGGCAGAGAGGCTCCGCGTATCAGGGAGGGCAGCTATCCTGTGGAGCTGGTAGGGCCGTTTCTCTAGGGTGCTCTGACAGTGGGACTCGGGTACGATGCCCAGTAAGTGGCCACGCACTTGGCGACAGGATACTGGAAGCTGTTTCCAGGTTCTGACACCAGGGTTAGAGTGCTTGGTACCAAAGCACCCTAGTGGCCCTGGAAGGTTGTTTGCTGGCAATCCCCCATACTGCCTGGCACTGCCAGAGGATGAGGCTGGCAAGCCTCCAGTGTAGCTGGTAGCAGGCTGAGTATGGGGTTCCTGGCTCTGCCTACAGCCTGGGGGACCTGGGGTCACAATGGGCTTCTCCTGGGCCTCAGTTCCCTCATCCAGAAAGTGGGAATGAACGGAACACTATCCCCACAGGATTGTGGCATGGGTGAAAGAGATACAACACACAGAGCTCTGAACACGTGCCAGCCACGTCGTAAGCGCTCAATAAATGGCGGCTGCCAGCAGCAACAGCAGCAGCTGCCGCCGCCCACGGCAGCTTCGTTCCCAAACCGATGTTAGCCTTGGTGGCAGGAGAGGCGCAAGGGGTGCAGCATGGCTTGGCTGGGAGCCCAGGCCAGGCCAGGAGGTCTTGGTTCTAGTTCCAGGCTGCCACTTCATCCTCTGCTGGGCCACGACATCCCTCCTCGACTAACCCCTTAGAGAGGCCCTGGAGTCCCAGTGACAGCCCCGCATTGGTACTTGTGCCAACCGCTTGGTTTACATCAAAGCAAACCAAGGCAAAAAGGCAAACAAACCTCAAAGCAGCATGCCCTCCTCTCCTGCCTGTGTTCTCCGGGGCCATTTATGCTCATACTCAAGTACAAACAACCAAGGAGGGATTAGGGCTCACCTAGGGCACTCACCGGAGGCAGTAGAGCTAAGTTCAAACTTGGGCCCCAGGGAGCTTGCGACTATTACTAGGCAGAAGCCTCCACCTGGTGTCTGTGCTCCTCACCACTTGCTGAAGCCCAGGGTGGCCAAGATGCACACCATTACCTGTGTGCACCAGGCAGCGCTGGCATGGGGGCATTCACGCAAGCCTGGTATTCGGTGACGTCAGCTTCACAATGGCAGAAGATCTGTTCCCTTCCTGTCCTGGCCATCACTGTGCATGCCAGCCTGCTGTCCCTTTCTCAGACAGACTGCTGGTGACCACGCACATTCCTGCCAAGGGTAAACTCTGGAATCCAGAGCTGTCTGTCCTGCCACTAGGACCCAGAACGAGGCAGCCACCAGGTGGCAGCAAACGCTATCAGGAGTGCTCATGTAGAGCCATAGCACTGCGGGGGGGGGGGGGGGGCTAGAAGAGCATCGGTTCTGTGGTCCCAGGTCCAGTGTGGGTCCAGAACCTGGGACCTCTGGCTCCTTTAAGACGTCTTTATACTGCACCCCATTTGCGTCTCCCAAAAAGAAGCGTGCTATGGTATTACTTTTCACTTAGCTATTGGCTCTCTTTGGGCTACCCATCTGGGCTGGCTGAACTGATGCCTGGGTTTGGGATTAGGGCAGTTTCCCTCTCCAGGGGCACGGGACAAAGGGTCAAAGTGCAGCCACAGAAGGGCTTCCATGGGCACAAATGCCCCTTCTGCTCTTCACAGGCTCGGCTGTCTCTTGATCTCACTACTCAGTTCCCCTCTTACCGACACCAGAAGACCCCAGCACTGCCCTTCTGAGGGAGGAGGCGACAGACGGACAGGACAGGACAGGCCCCGCGTACTGTCACCTCACAGGCGCACTCACCACTGGAATTCTGTGAGCTGCTGTTGGTCTCCTCAAAGTGGTTCTGTGCTTTTCCTTCTACCCGCCGGCTGAAGGTGCTTTCTGCAGGGTGGGCGCGGGGGGGGGGGGGGGAGGAGAGAGAGAAGGAGGGAGAGGGAGACGGAGAGAGAGAATGAGAATATGACATGGGCAGGGGCCAGCTTGTTCGTTAGGCCAGAGTGGGCAGGAGGCTCCTAGACCTGGGAGAATATAAGAACTCCACTGATCCCTGAGCCACCTGGTCCCAGGAGACTCTCTGGCGAGTGTCTGGGAGGTCCAGGGATGGAGGGGGAAGGAGTGACCTGTCCAAGGACACACCAATGTAATGCACCCAACGAGCGGACAGGGAATAGGTCAGGGCCCCATTTTTCACTCCAGGGCCATATGTGTAAGGCTAAGTCATTGGAACAAACTTTCTTCTGTTCCCCCTGGCAAGTTCTGCTGCTACAGCCTCCCCAAAAAAAAAAAAAAAAGAGGATGGAGGATGACAGTCCATTTTCTGGACCCAGCAAGTATCTCAAGGCATAAAGGATGTCTTGGGACAGGCACATGACAAGGAGGAAGGGGGTAGAATTTGCTCTGGAAAGGCCAAAGACTAGGTGAGGAGGGTTGGAACTCGTAGTGGAGGGGCCGTGCTTGGCTCCTTGTGAGCCATGCCTGGCATCTTTCCAAAGGCTCACCATCTCCCAGGCTCTCTCCCCGGAAACTCCATAATGCAGAGATGGGCTCAGCCAAGCAGAATGCTATAGCTACAGTCCCAGCTGCAGAAGATAACCAGCCTTCCCACGGTGCTCCAGGTACCAGGTGCTCCATAAGGCATGGTTGATCCAGATGAGAGTCTTGGGAAAGTCAATTTGAGATACTCAACTAGCCCTGACCCTTTTGACAGCTTGGATGAGGCTACCACAGGCTCAGAGAAACTGACTAGAAGGCGATTCACTGGACTTTAATAGATGCATCCTCCAAAATAGTGGGGGTCCTGGCAGAACCCCATTTTAAAGGTTGGATTCTGTAATATCTTTCCAAGTGGTGTTTGTGGGAATTCACTTGGAGCAACACCACTCACCAGGTCCCTCCTACCCAACAAAGTGCTGGGTGTTGGTGCTCTGGGTCATGGGGGACATGGGTGATGGATGCCAAAGGCAGCCAGAGGCAGCTCCTATAGGCCTGCTCAGTTCTTTTCCCATCACTTCAAGGTCTCCCATAGCCTGCATTGGCTGCTAGCATTAGGACCATGCTCCCTCTGTGTCCATAACAGCCTGGGTTGAGCGTCTCCAGACAGCATGTAAACTGGCAGAGTCCCGTTCATTCTCTGTCTACAGAGTGTGAGGGGCTCTCACTCTTGAGCACCTACTGTATACCAGCCACAGGGCCAGAGGTCTGCCATCATGGTCTCCTTGAATCTTCCCCACACCATGAGGCTGTGTGATATGATACTGCCCACGGAACGGGCAGAAAAACAAACTGAAGTCAGCAGGCTCCTAGCCACTACGATAGCAAGTGAGCCTCAACTGGAGGCAGGTGCTTCCCTTGTAAGAAGGAAGGGCTCCTCTTCTCTACTGCAGCCTGTGCTCACAGGGGACAGGCAGGTGGACAGGATCTTTGTTCTGACTAGCACGTGGGTGAGACTTGGTGCAACTCAGGTCACCAGCACCTGTATGAAGTCCTCCATTGCTCGACTTTCCCGGTGCCAGGGTGTCTGGTTGGAGACCAGCGTGCGCATGTCCACATGCACACAAACAGCCATATTCTCTAGGAGGGTGACAGTGACAGTCTCCACCTTACACCACTTCAAAACCCCTGCCACCTCCTGCTCCCGACCTGCTGCCCGTGGACTTGACCAGCTGGTTAGCCCAGATTAAGGTCCACCACAGGGCTTCCGAGTCTCAGAGGCAGCTGCTGGTGTGCCCTTGGCTCGCTGGGCACTTGGCTGAAGATAGTTGACATTCAATGAGTGCCAAATGCCATGCCAGGCCCGGCAGACAATTCCCAGTGGAAGCTGAGGGCCTATGCAAACTCAGCCACAAAGCTCAAGAGGGGAGCAAAGGTAGAAAGCCATGACCGTACCATTTGGTGAACCAATGTCTGCCTCCAAGGGGACCATGGTGGCCAGTCGTTCCAACCCTTTTAAGGTGCTGAGGACCGAACCCAAGCAAGACCTTCCACAATCATTCTACCACTGAGCTATCTCCCCAACCCTCTTTTCTTACTTTAAGACAGGGTCTAAGTTGCCCAGTCTGGCCTTGAACCCACTCTATAGCCCAAGCAGGGCTTGAGCTTTTGATCCCCCTGACTGTAGTCAAACACACGGTACTTGAAAAAATCCACACTTCAAGGCTGGCTGACTCCCCTCCTTTTGGGAGATATAAGCTCATGAAACAAAAGACCACAGCTTGGCCCAAATTAGCTTGTTAAACCAGAAGAAAGGCAAGCACCACTAATTACCCAGCCAGGTCAATAGTCACCAAATGATGCCAGGGGCTCATTTATCTGACCTTTCAGTGGAATCATTCTGTGTGTTTAGTGGCTAGCTTTGGCCTCCTGAAGGTAAATGAAAGGCCCACAGCCCCATCATCTGGATAAGTGGCCCAAGGCTTTCCTTATATGAGTCTGAGACTCGGGATTCCTGGTAGCTGTAACTAGCACATAGTAGGTCTTATATTCTAGAGGAAACCATCACTGGGGACTTTGCTGCTCAGTCACCTTCTGGAGCCAGGGCTCCTTTTTGCATGGGCCTGGAAACTTCTGGAGCTGGCATCCTCTGGTTTCCTGCTGGGCCTCTACCTCATGGAGGGTTTCATGGGGGAACTCTAGGGAGTGGGAGGCCAGGGAGACAGAGCTCGAGGCAGCCACCCTACTTGGTGGAGAACATCTCTGCTGAAACAGCCTGAGACAGTTTTCTGGAAGGTGAAAGTGCAAGCTCATGCGAAGGAGTCCAGGCAGAATGAACTGGGCGGGATGGTCACAGACAACAGCGTGCTCACGATGGTAAATGGCACCCGCCACGGGGCCACTGAGGCAGGGGTGTAGCGGGGAGTGGCAGGGCTTGTGGAACAGGGGAAGTGCATAGACACTGATTGTGAGGGAGGCACCAACCACTGCCCTGCAGGAACACAGCCTAGGAGCCAGATCAGATGTCTCAGCACAGTCAGAAACCCAGAGTTCTACACAGACTCTTCTCACGGTCAAACACTTCCAATTGATCTTTTATAAAAAGCTTTTAAACTTCATAAAGGCCAAATGAAACAGACTCCCTCAGGCCATGATTTGGGGGGGAAAATGTATCAAATTACTTTGAAAATGTTTGTAAATTTTGTTGTTTAACCCTCCAATTGAGGTCCAGGACTTGGTCTGCCAGGGTCACAAGTAGCCAGAGGCCATGGGTCCCAATCTGTACCAAAGCATGATGGGACTTTTGTCTTGTTCTTGCAGGGCAACAGCTATGGCCGGCCGTGGGCGGGGAGCCAGGGAGGCGTGGGTAATGGAGGCCATCGTACCTGCAGTTGCCTTGCTTGCTGGAGATCCCGAGTTTGGGGTGCGGAACGTCTGAGTTTGGGTAGCTGGAGGGGTGCGGTGTAAGAGGGTGGTGCATCGGACCACGGAGGCTGGAGCTTTTTTCCCCGACTGGTTCGTCTGGGTCTTCGCTGCCACGAAGCGTGGAGATGGGGTGACCTCTGGATGGGAACACTCAGAACCGGTGTCCGGATCTTCCGGCGGCTCCCACCCGGGGGCGGTACCTGAGAGGGGCATGTTCTCAGTCCTTGAGGGCCTTCAGAGCCTGCCGAGTGACTGGCCTCTCAGGCCACGGGTCCCGGAAGGCTCACTCTGACACACCTACGCCCAATCTGCCCTCATTCTATGGGGAACAAGGGCTCGAGCTCCCACCCGGAGCCTGAGGACCTTTGAGAGTCGAGAATCTTCCCCACTTTTCTCTTCACTTCAAGGAAGCCTGACCTCCGGTCCATGCTCAGGACTACCTGTTAAGTCACCATCCCTTCTGTGCAGTTTCTGAGTGTCTACATCCTTAGACTCGGGGCACCTGGAGCATTACCCCAGGCCCAAGCACATTTTCTAGAATGTTCGGCCCTTTTCCTTCAAGGGAGTCTGGCTCCTACGTGACGAGGAGAAGCGGACAGGTTGGACGGTGGAGCAGGGAAGGGACAGGGGTTGGGAACTGCTGTCCTTAGGAGACTTGGGGCCTGTCACTGTCACAGAGGTATACGCCTGTCCCCCGTGAGGCGTGGGAAGTCTCTCTTACCCGCATCCTCCACAGAGCCAGGTTCTGAGAATGAGTGGATTCTCCGGCAGTTTCCACCTCTGGTGGTCTTGGGTGCCCTGCACTCGGCCCTAACCTGACCCGCTCAGGAGAGCATCACACAAGGCCTGCTTGCTGAGACCATGTAAGGTCTACAGCTATGTCTCCTGATGGAAAGGAGGGGACCAAACAGAGTGGGGAGCGATCCCAGAACCCACCCACAGGAAGGAGCATCATCCTGAAGGCCCTACCTGTGCACGGGGCCTGGGCTCACTGCTCTGAGCCCCTTGGGCTTCCTGGCTCTGTGAGGGTGGTGGAGCCATGTCAGAATCCTGCTCTCAGGGCAGTGCCCATCCTGGGAGTTGGAGACTTAAACTACCCATACCAGAGGCTGAGATGAAGGGCTCTGAGCCCCAGGCTTCCAGCCATTCCTAGCACTGATGCAGAAGTCGAGGTCCACGGAATCCGGACCCCATGCGAACAACCACAGCTCTTCCATGAGGAGCTGAGCACAGCTCAGGAGATGCTTGCCTGTGCACAGGGCTGGCTGTGCCAGGGGAGTCATCCAGTCACAGCTCTAACAAGCTCCAGCCTAGCTGAGGAGATCCCCGGGGCCTCAGTCTGAGGAAGGCCCGGGGAGCTCTCGCTGGCAAAGGACACCTCCATGTTTTCCTTCTCCCCTTGCCCGTTCTTTCTCACTTGAGTCAAACAGGAAGGATGGCTTGTTGGGTAGATCCCCCTCTTCACTGTTACCACAGAAAAACCCGACACATTCAACCCGATACTGCTGCCCGGGTCCGCCTCTGACTGCTCCACCGTCTCCCTATGCGAGGAACAGTTTAGGAGCCATGGCTAGAGGCTCACTCTCGGGCCTAAACTGAGGCTGGAAAAGCCAGCTCATAGTGGAAGCCTAGCTCCATGACTTCTGGCCTCAATGGTCCTGGGCTCTGTACTATAGGGGGAGCAGAGTTTACCCTTCCTACTTCCACTGATGAGGCAGGACGACCCCGCCCCCGAGTGGGCAGCCCCCAAGGAACTCAGTGAGACATCCAGAAGCCAGAGAGATACCTTAAAGTAACGGCTCCTCACATGGAAACTGCTACTGATGTTCCTGCTTAGAGACGGGGAATCTAAGCCAGGAGCTCCAGTGAGATCCTTAGGGACACCCAGCAAGAAGGCGCTGGATGACACAGGATCTGAAGCCAGCCAGAAGCTCAAGAAGGCCTATCGATATCATGTATCGCCTCCACGTATCACATGACACTCACCCACACATCCAGAGCCCTGGGGTACAAGGACAGAGAGTCCATGAGCTGCCTGGCCACTTGCTCTCCTGAGAGACCCGTCTTTGTCACTGCACCCCACTTCTGGGGACTGTTTCAGTTGGTTCCTGCTGTGAAAATCCTGGCATTGCTTATGGCAGGGACCTCAGGGCACCTATGAAGCACTTGATCTAATAAACATAGACTATCATCTGTTTGCTCCAGCTGCCCTGCCTGGGGCTTCTCACCTCACCAGACTCTGCTCAGGCCCCTCAGCTCCCCACTTTCTCACCTCCTCTAACATCCGTTCTCTTCCACGCTCAAGGCCGTTGTCATGTTGTTTCCTTTCATCCCTTCACATTCTGACTGTTGGACCTATGTGCTGCACTGAACATCACTTCCTTAGGGAGCCCTCCTTAAAACTGACTTTCTTGACTATCCATCCCTCCCTCTCATCACCTCTTCCTTTCCAGGAACTGACTGCCATCGATGACATTTGCTGTGACCTTTGATGAGTTTGCTCTCTAAAGGCCGGAGTGGTCTAGTTTGTCCCCCTATCTTCATGCACTGGGCTTGGAAGCTCATTACCTGAATGAACCACAGGGAATGATTCAGAAGAACCATGCCATCCATGAATGAATGCACTGAATAGCCAGAAGAGTGAAATGTAGAACAATGGAGTAGAGGGCATCAAAGCCAGGAAGTCAACAGAGGCTGTAATGGTGCCACGAGGCTAACCTTATCCTCCCCCTGCCTCGAAGTGTAAAGCAGAGGGGGTCACAGAGGTCTGGTCACCACTTCAGGGTCACTCAATGGGTTGACCCCAAGCATGGATGGATCTATCTCAGCAGGTTCCTAACTCACTCATATCAGTCTACTCCATATGTTTGGCCTCACGGGACCCCATCAGGCTTCTACCTGGGCCTGTACTAGGAATGAGCATCTCAGACAGATTGGCTATTTTTCATTGTAAGAAAAACATATGCGATTTTTATACAAACACACCTAACAATGACAGGGTGCAAAGTCTCTCCTGTAGGAAGCTGAAAAATTAACCAAGGCAGAAAAAAAAATAAGAGAAAAGAAAGAGGCTACAGAGGCGTGAGCTGTCTCTAAACTCTAGGAAGCAGGGGTGAATTTAAGGAACCCCGTGTCCTAACGCTGAAGGTGGGGACAGGGGGAGGGGGGGACAACCTTCATGGAATTGTGTCCTGGAAAGAGGACTTCTGGCCACAATGAAGTGATTGGAACAGGACTGGAGTTTCTGATGAAGCTAGAAAAACAAACCACGGTGTGCAGACCTCACCATGTGATCCATGGAGTAGACTCGAATCCCAGCTCATTCCAAAATCTCCACTGGAGATAGCAAGCTCAGAGTACAGAGCAGGGCCCAATGGGCATGCCCACTCACTGAACATGAACCAGGACAGTGACCAAGGTCAGGGTTTCTGATGAGGCTGGACACTGCAGGGCAGAATAACAAACAACAGATAACTGAGCCAAGAAAGAATTCCAGAAATGTGCAGTGGGGCTTCCTTAAAGGCTTTAGCTGAATTCCGCACCATGTGTGTAGAGCGGGTCTCTGCACAGAGAAAACAGACGTGTGTGTGTGTGTGTGTGTGTGTGTGTGAGAGAGAGAGAGAGAGAGAGAGAGAGAGAGAG